ACATGTGCATATAGAGAACTGCAGGCAGTTGATCATCGGCCCAGATGACCTTGAATCGACGATGCAGCTTTTATTTCCCTTACCGCCTGCCTCATTGGCCAGCTTTAAAGGAAAGGCAGCTTTGTGTCTGCCAGTCATACTAACCGTACTTTACCGTATTGCCTTCCAATCGTCAGCCTAGCCTCCGATCTCCGATGCCAAGCACGGCCCCGTCGATGAAAGGCAATCAAGGAAAGAAGATGAAGCAGCAAAAGGCAAAGAAGGCAAAGAAGGCAAAGAAGGCAAAGAAGGCAAAGAAAGACTTTCGGCTGCCCCTCTGATCATCCGCCAGTCTACTGCAGTCTGCAGCCTCTAAGATTAATAAATATGTTGTGTAATAGTAGTACCTGAGTACGGAAAGTAGTAAGTAATGTAATGTACTGGACAACTCATTGTATATCAAAGGACGGAAGGTGCTTATGCGCAATCTCCTTCCCACACAGCTTTATTTTATTCTTGCAATGGCAGATTACTAACAACTAGATCGTCAAAGCAACGCGCTGACCTTCATGTTCAGGTTTACTTGTAGTGCTGTGGGTTTATGTTGAATTCAGAATCGAAGTGGCCAGGTCAGACAGTGATAAAAACGCTCAACTTTCCATCTGGTGCATCTATGATCACGCTCTGTAAAAGGACTTCGGTCTGCTCTCGATATGCCATTTCAGTCCAGCTTGCACCTGCCAGTCAAGGTGAAAATTGCCCTTGGTCTGCTGCTGCAATACCACCTCTTTCACACACTGCATGATCATCATGAACACATGATGGCAGGCTCAAACTGACCCCCCAAGTCCTCTAGACTTCAAGCGGCTACCCCAGCAGCTTCTTCGCTCTCTTTCATTTCCAGACTTTCCTCAAACGCTACCTAGGTAAGGGTATAATATGTCCGACGCCGAACGGCAATCACCAAGGGCAGCAATTCGCAATTGGCTCCAAACTACTGGCAGCAAGTCGACTGCAAAGCCCGCAGATGCATCTCGAGAGCAACAAAACATTGAGCGGGAATCGAGACATCGTTCGAGGCAACACCACACGAGGAGGTATCCATCAGAAACCAAGGATCGGCATGATGATAAAGCTGGCCAAAAGCACCAAAAAGACAATGAGTGTGGGACCAGGCAGACACGTGTCGCAGATAAAGTACTTCTCGTCAACTCGCACCAAGCACAACCCCAATTACACTTAAAAGAGAATACTGCCGTCATTTCGAACGGCCTCGGTCTCGCGGAGCGATTGGGACTCCATGCACCTTTTCGTACCTTCAAAGATCACAGCGATGATGATATCCCGGACCTCCGATATCACCCACGGAAGCGCAAGCGCAGCAGGTCTTCCACGAGCTCTTACCTCGAACCTGCAGCAGCCAATGACCTGTCAGAATATGACCATGACCGTTTTCGTCATGCCACGATACTACGTACGGGGAGTACAGGGCCAGAGCTTGACGATAGAGGCCAGCACGTTTCACCTACGGCGTCCCAGGGTTCGGAGATAGCGTTACTGTCTCCAAAAAAGCTCCCGAAATCCTACGAAAGGAGACCAAGACACAAAACCCGCCAAGATCGCTATGAGCTCAAAGACAATAACAGAGCTAGCGAGAAGACGAAGCAGGCTGCGAAGAAAGACCGCGGGGAGAAGAAGCAGAAGAAGCACAAGCGTAAAGAAAAGTCCGGTGCAGCTTTGATGCATGACTTTACCGCGCAGAACGTGGCCCACGACCGTCTCACTGTGAGCTGCATTCAATGGTCGTATGTTTTATGAATGTTTGTTGCTAATACTGAACCAAAGCTGAAGCCCACAAAGACCCTCGGCTTGTTCGGGAAAGGCAGAGCGTCTTCACCAGTAAGAAGAAGGGGTTGTAGGTTCACCTATCTCTATCGGCGGTTGATTAGCACTAACAAAGGCTCTTCAAGTGCCTGATCTTGCCTTCTCCGAGATGATCTTCCTCAAATCTTGTCGAGAGAAGTCCAAGGACTCGTTCGAAGACTCGTCTAATAGGCCCTCGGAGAAGAAAACGCGGCGGAAGTCGACTAAAGCAGCAGACACAGAAGCAGAAATTTCAAGATACTTCATGTCAGCAAAACCTACAAGCCTCGATGTGATGAAACCTCACGGTCAACGACATCAACAAGACAGGGGACGATCCCGAGACCACGAGTCACCGCAAGCCTTTGTCGATCTTCCAGATAGGCCTTTCCTAGGATTTGGAAGCTGTGGCCCTAATACCTCTCTATCTCCAGCGAAAATACCTGTCAACACAGATTCGAGAAGCCTCCATCGTGAAGACTCATGGTCTCCTACTCGTTCCACAAGCTATCTTACCTGGTCCCAAAGTGTGAGGCCGTCCTTCGGCTCTCCTCTGTTCAATAGGCCGTATCATGTTGAACCATTAACATCATCAAAACTATCTAATCGTAAACGTAAATCCCCAGCTCCTCATAAAGGCCAATACTCGTTACCATCTCTATTACCACCCTGTGTACCGACAACTTCTTCGAAAACCCAAGATGCTGCCTCCATACCTTTCTCGGCGCACGAAAATGCAAATGAGGGTTCAAGCCGGAATAGCGAGTCACGGTCGGCAACGGGTGAACGGCTTAGGTTGAGGGAGAAGAGTCAAAATCACGGCGATACTGGAATCATCAAGCTTGATGCTGCAAAGATTCCACACGAAATCGAAGACTCGATCGCAGACAGTACTCACCCAGCCGAAACCGCCACGCATGACGGCCCTGAATCGGCATTACTCTCTCGAAATGAAGCTACTTGCCAGTCTTCAGGACATGAGCCTCAACGCGAGCCTCAACGCGAGCCACAAGCTTATGGCGTGCGCCCTCTCTCGGCCCAGATGCCAATCATCTCACCACATAAAGACCCGCTCGACGATGTGCTCGAGGCACTTCTCACAGATTGCAATACTAACGTTGCTGGTAGCGATCTAGCCTCTCGTGCCACATCAGGTCACCGCAATCTTTATGTTAGGGAGGAAGAGGGGATACCAGATAGAATTCAGGAATATTCACGCATGCCTGCTCGCGCCTTCGTTAATAGTGTCTACGCTCCCGAGGCTTCGGCGTCCACCCCAAAAATTTCTGGGAAGCCTCGCAGCGCAAGCCTTCAACAGGACTTCCCGCATGACAGTTCCATTTCTACGCATACACTATCTAAGGGGGACCTAAGTTTTTCGAACAGACCCGGCTTAGGGTACGCTCCAGGCTACCGACCCATTGAAAGTAAAGTGGACTCAAGGAGTGCATGGAATGGTTACGGCAACCTTTACGAAAGGCAACAGGAGCAAGCAGATCCTAGGCCAGAAACTTCGAGAGAAAATAGACCACCTTACATAGCTCTGCGAGAGAACCTTTCAGGCTCGTCGCGAGAGACGGACCATACCGCTGCACGCGACGAATACGCACAAAAGCTTCATTTTGTGGAGCTAGGAGACGGATTTAATGATCACAGGCCTTATTTGTATAAGACGGTACAAGAGGGAAATGATAATGAAGATTACGAAGCAATCAGGCATGATGAATGGGATATTGATCATGGGACATCGTACGATTCTGGACCATCAATCTTCCATGAGTCTCACGAAGATTCCAATCATGGAATTATGGCCGAAAATAATGTCAGTGACTACCAGCGAAGAGAGATAAATGCAGATCATGAGCAGTCAGTCGCACAAGAGGCCGATCAGGATGAAGTTGAGCCCCACCAGCTCTTCACAACAAGCATACCAGACACGTACCCTTCATGGCGGAGTCATCACATCTTCAGTAGAGATCCCGGTCTCGAAAGGTGTGCTGCCGTTTCTCAGGTTCATGATGTTGATGTAGCTTTATCTGGATTTTGGACACCCCACAAGCTGTACTGAGAACCTCTGGTTTTTTTGATGATGGGAACTTTGAGCGTTAGTTTGGTGTCGGTAACAGTTTTTCATAGGCTTGGAATGCATGACTGTCCCTCGATATGAGTTCTTACTGCCCATGGTGCCCATCACCAGGCTTCCGCTTCGGTTAAGATGTGTCTAGTATGCCAAGCCTGCTAGCTTACCCCTAATTGCATAATCCTTGAGAAAGAAAGAAAAAATTCCACAGTTCTGGCACACCCCAAAATCAAAAATCAAAAATTTCAATTTTTCTGTATAGATTCACAACCACAATTAATTATAGTCTAAGAATTATTAAATATATACTTTATACACCTAAGTATTTATTATTAAAGTATCTTAAAAATTTAATTTATATAACGTAAGTAAAATAATAAAATGTTGATTTGACATTGCCGAGAGTACGCTGAAAAATCATCTGAATAAATGCCAAGGTTTTTTTTTTTTTTACCTCGGCTATTCTAAAGCTGTCAAGAGTACTTCGTAAAATTCGCTATTATTCTATTTTACAATATAACGAATAATTTAAATCTTTTAAGAATTTTATAATCTAATCTATACTCTATTTATTAAATTTTGATAATTTTTTAGATTATAATTAATTGTGGTTGTGAACCTATACAGAAAAATTGAAATTTTTGATTTTTGATTTTGGGGTGTGCCAGAACTGTGGAATTTTTTTTTTCTTTCTCAAGGATTATGCAATCAGGGGTATCGATAAGATAGAGCTAAGGTACCTTAGGCCGTAATCAGTGATTTGCGCTAATCCTTTGCATTTACCTTACTTTAAGTACTTACCTGAAGCTACTCCACCAAACGTCCAGGGCGCCTATTTGATAATTCACTCAGCTACGTTTCTTATTCGATTTCTTAGGAAGCCTCCGACAACGGTTGTACTTCTTCGACTCACAGCATAATTTGAATGTCACGATATGGGGTTTCCAATCTGATATGAAACAGAAAGAAGAGATCATGCTAAGCACCTGATCACGAACCTGTGGTCTATGCATTAGAACATGGCTCTCCATCAAATACCAACACGATCCAGCTATCATAGTCCGAGTCTATCTCGAACATGCAGTGTGAGATTTGTCATCGCTCCGCAAGCAGCCGACTGCCCTTCAACTGCACGCTTTGCGCTCGAGATGCCCTCCATCAACCCAGGATACAGCTGGCCCAGACACTGTTGCATACGGAATCCCTAGGGAAAGAGGTGGAACAAAATGTCGTGGGGACCTCAAAGAAGGAGAAGGCCAGGTCTTCGGCAGGCGCCAAACCCTCAGATGTGAACCACACTTGGACCGTCCACCGTGCAGCTTCCAACCAGTTCATATCGGAGGAAAAGACCCAGACTGTTCTCAGTCATGTCGAAACCCTGCGTGAAGAGACCCAGAAAGTCAAAGCTGAGATTGCGGCAAGAAAAGCAAAGCTCCTGAGGCGACGTTCGGAATTCGCTTCAGCGAAGCACGAGCTGTCTCAAAGCCAAGCTAGCGCCGTCGAACCAGTGGATAAGAGCATCAAGCGCACCGAACACAGATGGGATGTCATGCACAACAAGACGGCAGAGTCTCGACTGTTCCTCTGCAGGGAAGTAGCGCTGCTCTACGGCTTGCATCAACGGAAGCGGAAGAAGGGTGGATTGGGCAGAGATATCTACTTCATCGGAGGAGTTCCCATTGCTGATTTAAGGGATTTAAACAGTACGCACATCCTTCATAGCTCTAGCCAATATACTAAAGCGTTTTAGATGCAGCACCAGCCCATGTTACAACCTCTACCACTAACCTCGCCCACCTCACTCACCTGGTCTCACATTACCTCTCTCTCCGCCTCCCTGCCGAAATCACCCTCCCTCATAGCGACTACCCTCTCCCAACAATCTTCTCACCTAGCTCGTCCTACACATCTCGCGAAGTACCGTTCCCAGGCTCTACACCACATCACTCCTCACACAACAGCCCCTCAGCCTCTCGCCATTCAGATAACCGCCCACCACCAAGGCCGAGGCCGTTGCACCTCGACAAGAAGTTGTCTGCGCTCGCTAAAGATGATCAAGTAGCCTACGCATCTTTCGTGGAAGGTATCACCTTCCTGGCTTGGGACATAGCCTGGCTTTGCAAAACGCAAGGTATGAACGTTGGTGGTAGCTCTTGGGAAGAAGTCTGTGCTATGGGGAAGAATCTGTGGCACTTAATACTCGGCCCTCCACCGCGCCCTCCAGTACCAAGAGAAGTCTCAAGCAGAAGCTTTCCGAAAATGCCCACT